GGGGGGGAGGGCAGGGAAAGTAGGAATGGAGGGAGAGTGGGGGAGGGACCAGTGGGGTCCCCAAGTGGGTAACTCACTGTGAAGCAGTTAAAGGGCTCTGGTGTGATGAGAACTGTGGCTTTGGGGGGTGGGGGGCTTGGGGAGAGCAGACTCACCCAGTTGGTGCGACTAGGGGTAGCTGTCCCACTGACCCAGCAGCTCTTACCCCCCCCCCCGCAGCTCCAGTTCCTCTCAGGATCAGGCCCGTCAACTGTTCCAGGACCACAGCCCCAAAAGCACCCGGGGAGGCTGTGCCGCAGCAGGGGGGCAGGGACTGGAGCGTTGTGCCCGCTCCCCAGGGTCTGGGCCCAGCGTGTGAGCACCCACCCCGCACCAAGGAGCCCGGCACGGGCAGACGCCCCCCCGGACACCATGCAAAGGAGCTGCCAGGCCCCTCCCAGTCACAGCTGAGGAAGGTGGGTGAGGGACGGGCCTGGGGTCAGGGTAGGGAATCCAGACCTGGGTAAAGCCCAGGGGCTAGGTTGGGACAGGGGTATTGGGTAAAGATACCAGCCCCCACCCCGTCAGTGTCCGCTCCCCATCCTCTCTCCAGTCAGTCCTCCCCCAGAGCACACCCACAGACTCTCACGCGTGCACACCCTCCGGGGGCTTTGTGCACACGTACTAGCACAAAAGCACCCTTCGTGCACACAGCCACTCACAATGCCTTTGCACACAGGCACATGCACACTTGTGCACAGGCACTCGTGTGCTCGCACACCCAAGCACACGCCCTCTTGCATTTGCGCCCTCGTGCACACAGTCACATGTGCACACACTTGTGCCTTTGCGCGCACACAGACCTACCCACAACACACGTGCTCGTGAATTTGCACACACAGCCCCTCTCCTCCCCCGTTATTTCTCCCCACCCCTCATCATGGGGCTGGGAGGTGGGCCCTGCGAATGAGGCTGCGAAGGAGCTGGAGCTGGCCAGTCCCATGTTGGTATCGGCCCTGCAGCTGACAGATCAGGGTCCCGGATGGAGAGAGGATGGGGTCCGCTAAGAGTTGGGAAGGGGAGGAGGGCTGGGGATGCCCCAGCTCTGCTGGTACTGGTTCAGTTTGTTTCTGGGGGGGGTCAGCAAAAGGCAGTGGGAGCTGAGCATGTAGGCCCTCGGAGGGGGATGTTCCATTGGGGATCTCCCCCAGCTCTGTTTGCTCAGGGTCGCCCTGCGTCAGTGCTTGTATCTGTATTTTGTTCACAGCAGCTCCGCATGCTTGGGGGGGAGGTGGCCTTTGCTGTGACCCTGTTTCTCCGCTCTTGACTCTGTGCCATTCCTCCATATCACGGATGGAAACTGGCCACCCCTTCCCCTCTCACTCCCCCTGGCCTTCCTATCCATCCCGCTCTTCATCACCCCCTGCTGGTGGGGGCCCTTCCCCTGCGCCCCTTTGCTGGATGGAACTTTGGTGGCCTGAAGGTTCTGGAATGTTCAGCCAAAGTTCCTTCCACTTTGGAAATGGCCGGGGGCAGCAGCTGCTTGAGGTGTGGGGGGATTCCAGAAGGCAGGGGCCCGGGGGGGGGAGAGGAGAGGAGGATCAGCCCAGGCAAGGGCCAGGCTTTGCGTTCCTTCTCCATTGGGCAGCCCAACGTTGAGCCTGCCCCCAAACACCCCCTTCTCCATTAGCCAGAGTAGCCAGCTGACCCTGCCAAGTGCTGAGCTGCTCCGGGTACCCTCTAGTGTGGCCCTTTGGGCCCACTCTGGTCCAGGATGCTGAGCTCTGAGCTGCCCTTATCTCCTAAGGACATGAAGGGGTTGAAGGTTCTCAGCCCTTCAGGGGACGAAGCCAGGGGTTTAGGGGGCCTGGCCTGAAGGGCTAGCAGGGGAGCCAGTGCGTCGTAACGGGGAGTCCACGCTCATGCAGCTGTCATGATATGGGGCCAGGGGCAGCCACCAAGATCTGGTGCCCTCTGGGGCAGCCGTCATGCTGTTCCACCCTCTCCGGGGAGTGCCGAACGCTCCCCTAGTGCCAGGGAGAAGGGGTGCAGTCAGCTGACATCCCTGCGGGCTCCCCCTGGGTAGGAGCGGAGCCTCACTTGGGAGCTGCACG